CGGATTATGCAAACGTTATTTAGTTTCAACATTCGGTATGTTACTTTAACTTGGATACAAATTTTCTTTGCATATGGTACATTGTAGATCTCTATGAATAGGCAAAAATTAATCTGCTTTTTCTTGTAGCATTATAATTGACGTGATTAAAAAATTGTGAACATTCTAAACTTATTAAGCAATCACCATTAACCCTCTCAATGTTATGGACATAAATTTCGATATACAAGGGTTTCTTTCTTATTCATTACACTTGAAAATTTCTGTCGGCTTTTAATGTATCCAATTCTGAGTTGGATGTACAGTAGAAAAAAAGGAATCAAGGTACAAAGTGAGAGAGTCTTCTTTAATTATAATCAAGAGAATACCATTTATTCATGACATTTTGAGGAACTTTAAAATTTCAGGGCTAAATCTGCAATGCTAGGAGGTTTAAAGAAGAATGCTATTGTGAATTTTATGATTTTAATTGATTGATTGGCTCTAGTGTAGAATTTGTGTGCCCCTTCGACTAGCGATAAAATTTACTTTTTACAACCTTACTTTTTATAAAATTGCTCTAACAGTCTGAAAAAAAAAAAAAAAGTCGGATCCAATTAGAAGATTAAGGAACAATGCAATCTGCAACATTAATTGAAATATATAATTAGATAACTTTAGCATAGCTTATACCGTCTGTTATACATTAAACGTGCATGCGTAAATGCTACGCAATCGCAGAAAGTTTGTAGCTTTGACATCTGGATTATAGATCATTATGGACGTCCGGATTAAAGACTTTGTACTGTAATCAAAACATTACAGCCATAACACAAAAACCGGCCGCTGAATGCGGCTTTATATCACTGGCACGAGTTACTCAAATCTCTCTCTGCGTAAAAAAAAAACCACTCACAAAAGCCCCTTTCTTTTCTTTTAAGTTAAATGTCTTTGGGAACGCGTTAAAGGGTGTCCTTTTCGATATCCTCTTTTTGAGCACTTAGGCCATTAGCTGACATAGAAAATGACAGTTTCGCCCGGAAACTGCCTAGGGGATTTCCTTAACTCATTTCCGCAGAAGTTCTTAACTGACAATTAGTCTCTGGACAAGCAGGAAGTTCTCTAATGTTTATCAGAGGTGTGAATATCATTACAATACAAATGGATTGATGCTGTTAAGTAAGGCGAATAGAAATGGTCATTGTGAAAGCATTTATGTAGACTGTTTTGTATGTCCTTTAGATTCAAGCAATTTGTAGCCGACACCCTCTTTTTATGACCGCAAATATATTTGGCAGGAAATCATTGCTGTCAGCCACAGTAACTTCTCTCATGATGTGAGAATCTTTCTTTCTGTCATGTTGGCTTTATTTTTTGCAATTTAATAAGCTTCACAAACTGCAAGTAAATACTTTTCATTGATGACAACAAATTTCTCAAAGCATTATTTTTTTGTATTTGATGATTTTAGAAGAAATTTTTCTTAATAGAAAATTAGCGTATATTTGAAAATTTTAACTTATTACACACACATTGCATATTTAAAATAGAAAAGTATCATGCAGAAAAGTTCAAGTTGGCTGTTGCAAGTTGTAATTTAATGCTGGAAATTCATTCAGCATTCGAAAATAGAGCAAATTTCTGTCTCAGAGGGGGAATCTGCCCTTGGGTTATAGCTAACAGTAGTGTTATTTTCAAGAAAAATTTGTTTCTCAGATTTACTTTAACACAAAATAAATTTAATTTCTTTTCTTAAAATTTGACCTGAAATGTTAGGATAATCTTATATCTAAGGCCTTATTTTTAAGTAAATGCGATATTGTTGTCAGTGATGTAGCTAGGGTGGGGCAAGGGGGACACCTGTCCTCAGGGTAGCATCCAGGGGCACTAAACTGATGTTGCAAAATTTTGGAATGAAACATTTTTCATTCTTGGCACACAAAAAGGGGTGCAAGATCTTCAGTTATACCCAGGCACTGAAAACCTTATATGCACCTCTGATTGTTGTTTAGTTGCCATATTGCAATGATGGCAGGAGGGTGCTCTCCTCCCCCTTTTGGGAACAGAGACAGACACATGTCAGATTACTCTAGAAATTGATATTGTATTTAGAATATGATCTAAAGTTCAATCCCCCCTTATTTTAAATGTTATATTTGTATACTCCTCTTCTAATTAAGATTTGATGTTTATTACGTCATTAAAATACTGCTCTTATAGTTATGATACTTGGTAATTTATTTAATAATTTTAAAATTTGGCTATGAGATGAATAATAATGCTTATTCATATTCTGAAAATTAAAAAAAAAAAAAAAAAAAAAAAAAAAAAAAAAAACCACCTGTATGCAGATATATTGAAGTATGTACTAAGGGAAGACTTCCGTTAGCCATGTTTTCTCAAATTATTAGTTATGATGTGCAAATCTGTTGTTTTTCAATATGATATCAAAACTGTGATTTTGATGATTAAGTAAAATAACTGCCATTGAATAGGATAAATAAAAAATAGGATGCAATGCATTATGTTAAGAGTTATTATGATTTATGATAAAATACTAAAGTTAAAATAAAATAATTTTTGCAAAATGTTTTTTCTTTGCATCCTGTTAAGCTGTGTTATGCTAATCTAGCAAAATAGATAGGAAAGCCCAAATTTTTTGATCAGAAGTTACTTTTATTTGCTGAAAGACATGTAAATAAATTTATGTTCATTTCTTGAATAAAATGCATTAAGGGAAATGTACTAAATGTAAATTTTTAATATATGCTTCATACTTACATTATTCCCTTTCCAAAAAAAGTTCATTATTTTATGGTAAACATGTAATGCTTATGAATATGCTATTGCTGATTATTTATTAATTTTGATATTTAATTCAAGGGTATTTTTGTATCATGTAGTTATTTTATGATGCTTATTTCTTAATCAGTAATCAGTAGGTACCGCTTAATTGTGAGCACATTTGTCCACGGCTATTTTGATAACATTAAACGATAAGAAAAATATCCTTCAAAACAGCAATAGAATTTAACTATTTTAATATATGTAAAAATGTATAAATAACTGATATTCACAGCATTTTAATTAAGAAAAAAGTTGTTAATAGATTGTCTGCAAGTTTTATGTAAAGTTCATTCATGAACTGTGTGTAATGTTTCTGGCTGATTGACATTGTATCTGTAATCTTGATACTCGCAGGATGTTTCTTGGATCAGCATTTATAGGGAATTAACTGATTTCATCTGTATGTTCTCTAGAAAGTTTGTTACATGATATGCTTGGATTTGTTAAAAAAAGACCCTGTCAGATATTTTCAGTCATCATCTTCTGTTTGAAGAAGAGAGACCAGTGTCTGGTTGTTTTCAAAATTAACAGTTATTAAAAATATGCACTAGACTAAACAAACAATTTTGTTTTTTGTTAATTTTAAATGGTTGTTTGAAATAAAAAACCAAGCAGTTTGTTGACTTAATCCCTTACTTGGTGACACTTTTCAGTCGTTTGGCAGTTTTTAAAATTTATCTTGACCGTATTTGGAGAATTTAATTTCTGTTTGAAATGTTCATCCTGTAACATTTTGATAACATTAGCCAAAATATTGATAACAATGAGTGATTTATTTTTCCATGTCTTCATATACAAAAGGTGTTGACAATTTTGTGACAATATCCGAATGATGATAACATTAATTGCGATCACATTCAGTGCCATTTTGCTGTATTTTCAAATGATCAATAACCATATGAAAAAACTATAAATGGAGAAGGAAATAGGGTGGTTTTGCATGCAGATGAATTTGGTTTCATAGTGTAACTCTATTTCTAGTCAAACAAATATTATATTTATATTTTTAATCTTAAATTGTATGAAAATGGAATCATGTGAGAAGGATTAGTTATTTTGAATTGTGGAATAAAAATATGGGAGAATATGCTTGATGGGTTAATAAAGTGATTAAAATAGTCTTTTAAATTTATATAGCCTGATAATCTGATTCAGAATACTTCTAAATTACCAAATTATTAATGGCAGATTTCTAATTTTGTACAGCCATATAAGCTATATAAGCACTTTCTTTTAAAATATCAGTTAAAAAAACAGTAAAAAGGTAGATCTGATGCTGTCAACTTGAATTTAAAGTCAACAGTTCCAAACATTTATCATTATTCAGTTTTTTATTCATATCGATGGTCAAAATAAATTAATATATATATATTTCACTTCAATATTTACATTTTGAAATTATGCATTTATTTGTTGAATAAAATTCATCAGCTAGTGAATGTATAAAGTTAATTAGTCTTAATTAGTTTTGGGTTTATGTTTAGTTTATTGTGATAAAGAATACAGCAAATTTTCTTTTAAAAATGTGATATGGCATATGCGTTTTGTGTGTCAAAAAATAGAAAAAAATGCATAATCATATATTTCTCTGTAGTGTTGTATTTTCTTTTTTTTTTTTTATAGAATAAACAGAGGAAGAAAAATGCACTCGGTTATCCCAGCTAGTTTTGTTACACAAGCAACTCGACGTAGTCAGAATAATGACCAGGGTAGAAACATAGTTGCTGCCGTATTCAGTGCACTGCTTATTGTGCTGTTGATCATGGCTTTAGCACTTCCTAATTGGTATCATCTAAAAGGTGGGGGATGCACTCGGCAAGTACTTGGGACTGAACAGTTTTTTTACGTTGGTTCCTTCAAAGCTGTAACTGTTCCTGCTGTTGGAAATTTGTCTTACTCTTCTTTAGTATATTATGGATTAAATGAAGGTAAGAATAATAATATATCCTTTTTAACTTGTGAAATGTCTTGCTTCGAAAAGTGCTTTACCATTTTGTGGACTAGAGTTTGAGTATGATACAACTAAGCGTGCACTACATTTTTGATTTCGTTTATGGTGCAGTGTTGTTTAGAAAGTAATTTTTATTTTAAAGAGAAAAATATGTGGGTTTTGCATGTATTCTACGTGGATGTACAATTTTTAAGTTATCTTTTAATATACTCTGTATGTCTCCCAGTGACTAAGGGAATCACTGAATCCATTAAGAATTATGCTCTCATTAATTAAATAGCCCGATTGCTTGAGATTTTCGTGTGAATATGAGCTAATTTGCTATAGAAAGTCATTAATGAAATTATTTCTGGTTGAAAGCTGATGTCCTTCAGGCAATTTATCTCATCATATCTTGCAAACTGACAATATTTTACTGTGTGATCAGGATTGGAAGGGAAAGTATATTAGAGGAAAACATAAAGTTTTGATCTTAAACTTTTATTGAAAATTTTAAGAAGAGAAAATTAATGCTTTAGGATTTAGCTTACTCAAGGAATCTGCTTTCAGTATCAATGAAGCTTTTTAAGTTCACTTCAGATAACTTTTGAAGCAAGAACATGTATATTTTATAACATCAGGAGAGAAATTTTGAAATTGACTTGCCAGATTCTCTGCACCATTTCATCTTTAGCAGTATAGGAAGTTTTATTAGTCATTCTTTCAATTGTGTCCCATGCATAATAGTTGAGAAAACTGCAGTCAGGCGAATTTGGAGGCCACATATTGCATGTGGTCAAAACAGTTATTTTTAAACCACTTTCGTAGCTGTGTATACTGATACAGACTGCTTGGACTTATAAGCCAGTATCTTTCAAGTAATCTTGTAGTGTTCTCAGAATGGCTCTGAAGAGGTCATTATGAAAGAGCTGCTAAAAATTTGAAATGAAGTTGTTTCTCTTCACCCTTTGTTCGTCTTGTTCTTGCGTTTTTCTGGCAGTGGTGTCCTCCACATCAAAGCCTGAATCCACCAGCTGCCTTCTAATTCTTTGAATTCTCCTTAGTGGGAACTTTATTTCATCTGTGATGAGGATGTTGGCACATGGAGTATATCAGTGGTCTCAAACTCAAATTTCATGTGGGTCAAATACTCAATCTTGAAACAGCTGATGAATTGCACTTTCTTTTGAGGAAAATGAGAATGAATTTATATGCACACATACGTACTGTATATATATATATATGTGTGTGTGTGTGCTCAGATTTGATTTTATTATCTAAAGAAACCTCTTTGAAAGGCTTTTTGTTCTCTTGGTTTTAAAAGTTTAGTTTAGCATAATCATGACTACCCAATGTTTGAACGTTGTTTAACCCCTTAACGATTGGATAATTTTCAAGAAAACAGTTATAGAAGTGCCTATTTTTTTATTAAAGAAAATTGAATAAAAATAAGTGTATGTACAATATATGCATTTAAAAAAAAATTGGATTTTTCTAGCTTGAAATTTAAAAAAAAAATTTTTTTTAAGGAAAAGTCAACATTCAGGGTTATTGTGATTGAATGTTGGTTTTCCAATTAGCCAGGAAAATTTAAGAAATATGTGTTTTAAACATTAAAGGAAAATTTTATTAAACTTATGCATAATATAAACACAGATTAGTAGTAATTTGTTTCTTGTGTGATAAATTTCAAAGCATGAGATGCAAAGGTCACAATCTTGGTAGTAGGACCGAGTTTCCTTCCTACATCTCTTATTGTTTTCATCTGTTCTGGAACAAAAATTTTTCATATCTTGATGGTTGCCATTTCTTATCAGTTGGGGGTATATGTCTAATAAAATGCCTTTCAATCAAATGGTTTGGATTATCTTCCAAGCTTGGCCGGCCTCTTTTTGGAATGGTGTCTGATGATTGATACATTTCAGTAAGTTCATCTACTAAAAAAACATCAAATGGGATTCTTTTCCACCTTGTTTTTTGTAAATAAGATATGAGTTTAAAATAGTTTGGTCTAATAAATGAAAAAATTATTTTCTTATAATATTTCTTCCAGCTTTTTCGAGAAATTAATCTCCAAGATATTTTTTTTTTCTATTTAAAGAAAAAGAAATACTTGTGCACCACAAAGTATCACGTAAGGCTTACAAATCGTAAGTAAAAAAGCAAAATCGTAGGTAATAACATCAACTTTCAATAATACAATGAAATCAAACACACAGATTGCAATAACACAAATTAGAAGACATTCGCTTAAACCGTTCAAGATACACTTAAAACTTACCATGTCCAGACAAAAATTAACGTAATGTTAAAATTGAGCAATAAGTCCTTACTTTTCAGTCTTTCAAAAATAGTTAGAAAGAATTTTTTTTTAACAGTTCCCTTATCAGAAAAGATATAAGCACAATTCCATTGTTCAATCATTTTAGCTTTGAGTGTTTTTTAAAGTGTGATTTTGGAATATTTACATCAACATTAATATCAATTTTAGTTGCATTCTTAGCAAGCCAATCAGCTCTCTCGTTTCCATGATTACTCGAGTGACCACAGACAAATGTAAAAAACACTGAAATATCCTTCTTCTGCAGATCTCCGAGAGACTGCTGTAAAGTAACAATAATATCATTACATGATGAGGTATTTTTGAGGGACTCCAGGAAAGAGAATGAATCCGTGCAGATTAAGTAGCTGGAACTATGTCGATCCTGCCTAAGTACCCACTTAATTGGAAAATTAATACAGTGAAGCTCAGAAATATAAACAGTATATTCATTTCTAATACAAAATTGGTGGTACTCAATTTCAACATCGTCCTCAAAAATGACATAAGCAAAACCAACTTTGTCATCAATCGTACTATCATCCATATAGCACACCATTGAGAATGAATTTTCATCAGTGTCTATACTGTCCAGAATCTGTACTGATTGTCTTACAGAATGATGAGGAAGAACAGACAAGGGCAATAAACGAGCAGTTTGCAAGACTATTCTTGTAATCTGTACAGGTCAGAATAAACAATTCCAATGGTGAAGATCCATAAAAAAAAGAACACAGCATTGTAACTAATAGGTCGGTAACCCCTTATAACTTGCAGTAAAATTAGTCTTTGAACTCAAAGCAGACAATTAGAGTTAATTTTCTTTTTTAGAGATAATCCCCAAGCTCTACATCCATATGAAATAAAGTGAACAATATCTCCAAGATATTGGTCTACAAATACATTCTGCTGCCATATTTTTATTGTAATCTGTGATAAATGTATGTTTTTTACAACTTTATTATGACATTGTACATATACCATGTCATTTGTATAAACTGTAGATAGCATCGTAGCATCTTTCTTATCCTTCCACTTCATGGCAAGAACTTTACCTTGACGAAAAGCAACATTTTCACCTGTTGCTATTCTCTTTTTTACCAATTATTGGGGCATTTCTTTTTGGTTTAGTTTTACAGTTTCATAAGTGTCTGTTTGAAATTTTAAAAGCATGTGTGCCAATTCTAGTGAGGTATAAAAATTGTCTGTTATCAGACAATATCCTTGTTTTGGCAGAGGCTTGATAGTGACATCACGAATTGACTGGGGCAGATCTTTATATTTTGCATCAGAAACTGTACCTTTTGCATATACTTAAATTTATGAAACTGTGCATGTTTTTCATGGCTGTATAAGAAGATATTTAAGTTTTATGAAAATTAAGCAATTGTATAAATTAACACTAATTACCAAGATGTTTATTGGCTAATGTACACAAAATTTGCCTCATAGATCCTGGTTATAGAAGAAGACAATCATTTTTAGAGTTCATTTAATTAGAGATACATTCCTTTCCTTCTTCAGTTTTCTTTATTAGTAAAATCATTTAAACTGAATGCAATAATTATTCAGAATTGAGCATTCACCACAGTTGTTACTGTTGCAGTTAGTGAGTCCAGTAGAAAACCAAAAGTTCATCACAGCATGACATCCAATCAATATTATTGTGTTTTTTGGACTTCAAGTTATAAATGAAAAATATTAGATATAGCACAGAGAAAGCCAGAATGAATAAAAACAAATTCATGAGGAGTGTATGAAGGCAGTTAATTTCTTTTTGGCATTTTCATAGAGAAATAATGTAATATAGGTGCTATTATTGTATATATAAATAAGCATATAAAACTCCCAACAGCTATTTACATTAGTTTATTTAAAAAATGTAGGCTGTTTTAGCCTCCATCCTAAATTATACAGAGTCAGTATTTCTTGATCAGCTGCAATTTTATTGTACTAAATTCATTTCTTCATTATTACTCGTTGGAAATTCAGGAATTTATTTAGAATTTTCCATTCAAATGTAATGGAAAAGTACTGTTTTTAATGGCAGTTATAAAACGAGTTAAAAATTATGGTACATTTCATTAACAGGGTAGTGGCGACCGTTATACAGAAGAGGTGCAGAATGTAGCCAGAAACAGTAATGACACATTCAAGATGCATTGCTGTTGGGAAATATAATCATTTATGAATATTTGAGAAAACTATTTTAAAATGTTATCATGGAGTTAATAATTCCACTAAACTAATTTTATATGCCCAAGCTTCTCTTTTGTCATGACTGCCATTTCAGTGCCTTATTAACCTTAAAAGTTAGCCTTATTGTATAGTTATTTTAACAAAATTTTTTTCCATGTTAAAAATTATAAAAGTGGGCACTTCATTGTTAGGCAGTTGCCATCTGTTTCTTCATCAAAATCTTGGATGAGAAGTATGTCTGGAATAAAACATGATGAATTACAATATTTGTTTCAATCTGCAGTGCAAAGTTGTCATTGGTGGACTGGCACATATTTGGTTTGCTTCTCATTAATGGAAGATTATCAGAATTCCAACTTTTGCTTGATTAAAACAACACAGGATTAATCTTCAGTTCTGTGTGAAAATGTAGAAAATTTGGATAAAGTATTTATTTGATGACTGTTAGAAATATTTTAATAAGAGTTTATATATATATATATAATCATAGTTTGCTTCAATGTGGAATGAGAAAGGTTTCCACTAGTAATGCCATAAAAAATAACTGTAATCATTACTGTTATCTTGGAGGCAAACATTGGTAGATTTTAGGCTGGGAAATTTTTGGTCTTCTGTTGTGATAGAAAATGTGTTTCCTTCCCATAAATATATTTTTTTAGGCTGAATCTTTTCTTATTTTACAACTCAAAATTTCTGATTATTAAAGTTTAGCTATTTTTTAGATGTGTAATATATGTTTTCATATTTTTTGCTACCTAATTTTTGATGTAAAATTTATTTTTTAAGTGAAATAAGGTTTTAAAATTTAGTTTATGATATCTTAGTGTCTTCTTTCAGAAATGAAGGATTGTGTTACACCAGAAATTGTTGCTGTGCAGAGAGCTATTATTGGTTTGTGCTTTGTGACAATATTTTTCAGCTTTTGCCAGTTTTATTCAGATTTAACTGGTGTGACACACAAGTCGCTAAACTGCACTAAACGCTGTGGTCTTGGAAGCATTTTCTCAGGTATTAGAATTTTGATATAAATATAGATCATCCATGTTTAGGGTATTAGTTTGTCCATAATTAATGTTAAACATTTAGTACTGTTCCATTAATGCTTGTACTACTTAGCACTATTTTTGTTTTGACATATTTCCTCGATACTAGGTGTCATGAATTTGGTTTAGTTTTTTTTTCTTGCTGATAATTGTCTTTATAACCATTTTTTTTTTTTGCAACCACATTATTAGTTAAGCAGTTTTCTTCTTCCCCCCCCCTGCATGATTTGTGATTTTCCAAGAGATAAAGAGGTTGCTAAATTGTTTCTTCACGAAATACATTGTATTTGAATAACCACCTCATGAGAATAAAATATGACTTTAAGCTGAAGGGCAGGAAAAAATGTTTGAATGCATTTAGGTTTGTTGGATCATGCATTCCTTTCATTACTGCTGTATGAAACATTTATTTATGTTACAGGAGCTAATATTTGTTTTCAAAACTAAAGCTTGCTGCAAATGAATCACAACTCAGTGGTTCATTGGAATTATATATATTAGAGAGATATGTACCAATTCTTTATCTTCCTCTAAAGTTAAAGTGATGAGTGTGATAAAATTGTAGAAATTGATCACAAAGTGTGGTATGGCTTTAATGGAAAAGTACCAAGCATTTTTATTCATTTTTGTTATAAATTATGGCAATTTTATTATTTTCAGTTTATCAGCTGAAAATTATGTTTAGTTTGATTTATGACTGCTGCCAAGATGTTTCAAGCAAGAGTTAAATGTTTATTTTGAATTGGTGTTAATATATTTATAATATTTGATATTTTTTACTTATTTTTAAATGTGTATATATGCTTTTTTACGTGTATGTGCATTTTCTTAGAAGTACTGAACGCTCAGACAATTCAGTGTTAAAAATGCATTCTTTAAAGTGACTTAGATAAGCATCTGGAGCATTGTAAACACTACCAGTGTTTAATACTTTATATTTCTCAATAATAGTCTTAAGTAAAGAGATGCTGATTCGCTAAGTACCAAGCATCATATTTTATAATAATGTCATACGTCTAAAGTTCATACATTAAGTCCACCCGACCTCAAATACTTCTCTCAGTTTAAAGAACTCAAGTGTGGACTGCATCATTTCTTCCTGAAATAGGTATCTTCAATGATTATTGAAGGCATTTGAAGTCTGAAGAAAAGTAGTAACTTACAAGGTATAGCAAATCTTTGAGACAAAAGACTAAAAAGTACTGAAATAAAAAAGAAAAAAAGCCAAAGAGAGAAAAAAACAAGAGTGCATTTTTAATGACTTTTGCCCATATATTTTATGTTGTCCTGATGACTATCACTTGCTCTGAAAATAACTCAGCTATTACAGCAATTCTCTGAAACAAAGTTATTTACCATTGAGTTTGTTACTGTAATGATTATCAGACAGTTTGAAATCAATTAAACTATTGCATACATAATGTAAATTAAGGACTCAAATTAGTATTTATTGCATGGTTTCTATTTAAAAATGCAACTGTTTCTGAAGTAAAACTATTGCTTGTTGCCTTTAAAGGGCTGAAGGTCCTCATGGAGTTTATGAGCCACAGTTTGGCCATGTCTACTGTTAATGAAATACAGTAATCCTTTGGCAATGAGAAACAAAGAGCAAACTATGAAACTGATCTAATTGTTATTGAAATTCTTCAGTTATGAGAGCTCCACTAGTGGCTGAGTGCTGGTACTTTGAAACAGGCAACTGGGCATGCTACATGGTTGGTTTTTGTTGTCTATCCCATGTGTAGCGTGAACAAAAGCCAATTTCATTTAGAAATTCCTTTCCAAAGGCATACAGCTGTTATGTATTTTATCTTATTTATACAACCTAACCTAACTTGCTCTAGTATTGAAACATAACTTTCGTTTCTTTAGGAATCGGCAAGTGTTAGTTATTTCCTCTATATCTATGTATAGGAAAATAAATCAAAGTGATTACTTTTATTTGCACACCTAGTAATTAAAAATGTAATGAATAATATCAGTCATATGATAACTGAATGCTTACTTTTAAGAGTTGGCATTTTCATCAAACATGACAAACTATTTATAGCCATTTCAACCATTTTTTCATCTCAAATAATTTTACCACAATTCTAAACAACCTTTTCTGCAACCTTTCAGATATTTTGAATTGCTAAATTCAAATGGTTACAAATCAAATAGTTTTCTGGTTGCAATTTTCTAATT